CCCCCCTCCTGAAAAAGAGTGCAAATGAAAAATTTGATTCATCATGTGACAGATTGAGGGGAGTAATTACGTCTTTGAGGGAAAATCAAATTACGTAATTAGTCGTGTTGTCATTGATTTTTACAATGAAGAAACAGAAATGATAACAAAAAATATGCACATTCTTAGTGTTATTAAATCTTTACTCATAACTTTGTAGGAATTGGATGAAATACAACCTGAAGTAACGTCTTCTAAGAGTCGTCCAGATACGCTATTCTCTTCAGAAAAGATAAACAAGAAAGAGAAAAAAGTAGTGTTTCCAAAACAGGAAGAGAAACTGACTCCAGATGATGATGAGATATTACAAATGGCTATCAATGATTTGACGGTTCTACTCGGATTAGAGGTGAGCATGAAAATAAAGGACACCTGCACATTACTTGTGTTAACATGTTGTTATTTGTAGAGCTGTAGCTCCAGACATTATAATGACTATAATGACTGCATATTTTTACTAGATAGAGGTTAACACCATCTCACCATACTTGTATACTTTATTTGTTGTTGCCAGAATAGTTTGATATTTGATATGTACAGACAAATTTCACTAAATTGTCTAAAGAACCCCTGTGAAAGTATCACTGTGACTAGCTAGGACCACTGTGAAAGTACCACTGTGTCTCCTTAAGACCACTGAAAGTACCATAGTGACTTCCTAGGACCCCCATGAAAGTACCACTGTAACTCCCCAGGATCTCTGTGAAAGTTCCACTGTGACTATCTGGGACTCCTGTGAAAGTAACAGCCATATCACGTGATGTTGTGACTAATGAAAATACAGTGATAGATATAATAATATAATATTTGGTTCACTTTAAGGATGATTCTTTGTTGAAAAGTAAAGTGAGTTTAGTCCGTGTATCTGCAGGAAAGTATCTGACAAGAGAAGGTGACCAGGTGGGCTTTTATCGTAATTTCTTCTTATGTAGTTGTCTCTCAAAATGTGTATGATTCACTCACTGCTCTGTTGTGAACTGCCTAATAAGGTAATTTTGCTGCTGTCCAGTTACCCATGATGCAATGCAATTTCATGTGATTAATAGAGGGGAAAAGTCTTGAATCATTTCACCAAAATTGGGTGGAACATGAAAACTGCCATTGATGAATAAATATTTATATTAAGAAATATGTTCATATTTTTTTCAGGTCATTATATTAAGGTTTCAACTTCTTCCTCAGAAGGGATTATAACTGAATTTCAAAAATAAAATTACAAAAAAATTTGGCAGCTTGACGTGTATTTAAAGTATCATCCACTTACATTGCATGTATTATTCTAACTCTGGCAATTCACAGCAATGATCACAACTGTGTTAACTTATAATTGTTGTCGTCCCATCCCCTGTTAGGATTGTAGTCTGTATTTCGTTGTGACGGGCTGTCTTGGAATGCACCAAAAGAGAGTGGGAATCAAAGGAGAGGAGAACACTGTGTTTATTGCACATCCTGGTGAGCTGGTTGGTACCATTGCTGTGCTGACAGGCGAACCTTCTTTCTTTACTATCCGTGCAAGAAAAGACTCTAGGGTGGTGGTTGTCTCAAAAACTAATTTCTACAGGTAAGAATATACACTGCAAGGTACAAAGGGCTGGTTCATTTCATCAGGGTGTGGCCGATTCTTTTACTATGTCATGTCTGTAACTGTTGAACTGTTTTTACCAACTATGTTCACAGCCCTCACTCACACTACAATATTTTGTAGTTTTGAGTTTTCTCTTGTCTCGCATATTTGTGAGCAATTTAAGTTTTCTCTCATACTACTCATAAACTAATAACAATTAAAGTTGTATTGTCAGTAACATTTTGTTTGAAGCCTATGACGTAATATGTGTGATATAATAAATGCAACCGCTAAGATATCCACATCTGAAGTTTCCTGCCAATAGCCGAAAATTACTGAGCACTTCTGTGAATCAGTTGTGATTGAGTTTTCCAACATCTTGGGGTTTCATCAAATCACTGAATCGCATGTACGAGTTTCTGTTTGACTATCAAAGATGGACAACATAACAAAATTAATATTCTATGAGAAGCATTTTGATTTAAGATTAGTCTGAAATGCACACTAGACTCTTGAGTTGTTTCCTGTGTAGCTATTAGCTTCTACTTATCTGAATTTATAGGAAGACTCGTATTACGAATATGTCGAAACGTACTCGCTATGTTAGTTGTGTTGTGCATGTATCCAAAGTACAATTCAAAAAGCAATACATTTATTGTAGCGAACACAATAATGACTCATTAGATTTCTATCAGTAAAGCTTTCAAACACCTTAAAGCGCTATGGTCAACGTGCAGCGCATGTTTGAATTTCATGTAAATAAACAATGTATTTTACATGCGTTGTATATGTCGCTATGAGTCCCATATCGAACAGGACGCGGCATGACGACTGCCGCCCTTTTTGTGATTTGATTTGATTCTAAATTCTGTCATCAATACAACTTTATAAGAAATGCACATAAACCAAAAATTGCATTTTGTGTAGATCAATAAAGTATGACTTATTTTGACCATAGACACAGCCCAGTTATTTCAATTCCGAAGTGCACATGCTACACAAGCATGCATGTGTATTGTAAATCAGTGCAGATATGGAATATAATTGAGTATAGCTATATTAATATTATACTTCTCATACACACATAGCAATATATGAAATAATAGAGCAATAAAAACATGAATAATTCTTAGTTATGACTATACACTGTATGTTTTGCTTTCAGTATAATGAGAGCTAGCCCTAGAGTGGTGCTGAATGTAGCACACAGTATTGTACGAAGACTTTCACCGTTTGTTAGACAGATTGATTTTGCTCTAGATTGGATGCATCTTGAGGCTGGTAGAGCTGTATTCAGGTAAAACCATCAGACATTGACTCGTTGGTTTATGTTTCATGATACACACGCAGCATAATCCTCCTGAATATTAAAAATGCGTTACCTTTTTGATACCAAAGCCAACTGTCACCATTCATAAAATAAGGGTCAAAATGTCTTGGGGGGGGATGCAAGAAAGTTTGGGAAAAGGTCTGAGAAAGTCTGGAAATCATTTGGCTCTTGGTACGTCTGGACAAAATTAACAAAGTTCTGATAAAAAAAAAATTTATAGTAGTCAAATTATTCGTTCAAAAGTTTAATGTGGCAACCATGCCAGACTAATTATTCTTGATTTTCTGCTGTAGAAAGTAAAGATAAGTGTTACAGGTTTTTTCATCATTATTCTGGTGTCAGTTTTCGGAATTATGCAAGCTATGATAGATTTGTATATTCACTGTTTCAGACAAGATGACGAATCTGATTGCACGTATATTATACTGAATGGCCGTTTGAGATCTGTCGCCACCTTGGAAAATGGTAAAAAGGAATTGGTAGGGGAGTATGGTAGGGGAGATCTAGTTGGTATTGTGGAAGTTTTAACACAAAGTAAACGGGTCACCACAGTACATGCAGTGAGGTAAGTAAATAAGCTATAAGATTATAGCAAGTTGTCTGAGATAAACAAAGGCAGCCATACTGTCATGTGGTGTAGACTGCAACTTGATTGTCTGAGATGAACAAAGGCAGCCATACTGTCATGTGGTGTAGACTGCAACTTGATTGTCTGAGATGAACAAAGGCAGCCATACTGTCATGTGGTGTAGACTGCAACTTGATTGTCTGAGATGAACAAAGGCAGCCATACTGTCATGTGGTGCAGACTGGTCAGCTGACCATGAACTTTGGAAATACAGTGTACTACATATATGAAACAAACAAAATTAATTTTATAATTTTGTAATTAGAATCAATGTAATGCATAAGGACTCTATTTAGTGAAAGTGACAATTTGATATTAAGTCAGTTTACATGTTTCTGATCATTTTTCTGCAGAGACACTGAGCTTGCCAAGGTACCGGAAGGTCTTCTGAACACCATCAAACGGAAATATCCACAAGTAGTGACCAGGTTGATTCATTTACTGGGTCAAAGAATCCTGGGAACCATCACTGGCAAATCGCTGGGTGGGTTTAGATTGACAGATCCACTGCGTTTCTCAGAACGTCCGAGTGCTAGCACCCTGTCTAATCTATCCACGGTAGCAGTGCTTCCTGTATCCAGTGATGTACCGTTGTCCAGTTTTACTGTTGAGTTAGAGCATGCTCTGTGCTCCATTGGTAAATATAATACTTATTCAATCATTCTTCTCAATAGCAGCTCACATAAATATATTTTCTACTTGAGTTTGATTTCATGCATGGCACTTTTAGAGCAGGATGTGTGCACTATTTTTCAAAACACCCTTCTTTCATTCACTTATCACCTTATCTTGTGTGCATGACATCTAACAATCTCTTTGTACAGGTACAACACTGAGACTGACGAGTGAACACATAAGAGATAGATTGGGAAGTGCTGCTCTAGACAGGTATGTTCAAACATAGATTGAGAGGTGTCACTCTTGACAGGTATGTTCAAACATAGATTGAGAGGTGTCACTCTTGACAGGTATGTTCAAACACAGATTGAGAGGTGTCACTATTGACAGGTATGTTCAAACACAGATTGGGAGGTGTCACTCTTGACAGGTATATTCAAACATTGATTGTGAGGTGTCACTCTCGACAGGTATGTTCAAACATAGATTGGGAGGTGTCACTCTGGACAAGTATGTTCAAACATTGATTGTGAGGTGTCGCTCTCGACAGGTATGTTCAAACATAGATTGGGAGGTGTCACTCTGGACAGGTAAGTTCAAACATAGATTGGGAGGTGTCACTCTGGACAGGTAAGTTCAAACATAGATTGGGAGGTGTCACTCTTGACAGGTATGTTCAAACATAGATTGGGAGGTGTCACTCTTGACAGGTATGTTCAAACACAGATTGGGAGGTGTCACTCTTGACAGGTAAGTTCAAACATAGATTGGGAGGTGTCACTCTTGACAGGTAAGTTCAAACATAGATTGGGAGGTGTCACTCTCGACAGGTATGTTCAAACATAGATTGGGAGGTGTCACTCTGGACAAGTATGTTCAAACATTGATTGTGAGGTGTCGCTCTCGACAGGTATGTTCAAACATAGATTGGGAGGTGTCACTCTGGACAGGTAAGTTCAAACATAGATTGGGAGGTGTCACTCTTGACAGGTATGTTCAAACACAGATTGGGAGGTGTCACTCTTGACAGGTATATTCAAACATTGATTGTGAGGTGTCGCTCTCGACAGGTATGTTCAAACATAGATTGG